ACACACACACACACACACACACACACACACATATATATATATATATATATACATATATATATATATATATATATATATATATATCACAGCTTGTGTATATAACGGTCTCAGTGCAATGCTTATTCTAATTGCCCTCGATATTTACACCATCATTTTGGACACGTGTACACATTGGCGCGCTTGCAAGCATGCATTATTAATACTTCGCATAGGGTGCTCAAGCGTTTGCGTCGACTTAACCACTCCGATCCTCGCCTATCAGGTTTACATCAAACATCGAGAAAGCCCGTCTATCGAAGCGGATGTGTCTCGGCTGAAGAATGCGCTGAGGCTATGTGGCGCAACTTGTATGTCGTCGCATACGGACAGTGACCACGACGATCTGAGTGAGCGGACCGACTGCAGATTGTAAGCGAGTGTTTGTTTGGGTTCGTATGAGAGGTACCTATGCTTATTACCCCACCACCCCCCAGTTTCAAGTATGAATGCGGTCAATGTGCATGCGGGTGTCTATCACAGCATGTTATCATCGCGATATGTCTAATATGCTCAACTTTGCTTCACTATGGAATTCGTCCATTACCTGTATCCATCATCAAAAAGGGTGGGTACGGATTTTAGGAGCTGGAATCGAAAATTGTGGCGACTCTGTGAAAAGAAACGGGGTTGGCCCACAAGGAGGAAACAGCTGAATATGAACAAGACCATCCGCTCTGCTGATGAGTTGTGGTATGCAGCGGTGCTCAAGCGATTTCGTCTTCTGGAGTGTGTTGGTGTCCGTAGTCTGCATAGGCGTACTATAGACCTACCGACATCTCGTTCTTACATATGTAGACGTGAATGTTTGTATCATGCTGTCTAAATTGCTGGCAGATAAAGTTTGTGTTTGCACCCACTCGTCCCACTGGCGATATGCGGTTAGGCTTAGAACGATCGGGAAGTGCAAGTACGAGCGATTATTTGTGTTATTAATCATCCGCTGTGTCTCTGCAACTTCTTTGCAGAAACATACCCCCACGTGTGCACATATGTATCTATAACTTGAATCTCTGAGCCTGCATGCGGCCGTCTGGGTCGGGCATGTATCGGTACCATGTGTAGTGTATGGTGTAGGTACGGAGGATCTAACCTCTCTTTTGAAAGTGCGAGCAATATCTCATATCGACGTCAATTTCAAGGAATAGTGTCATATTGATAGTCTGCGATTGGCTCTGCCCACAATCTATATGTTTATTTTACTAAGGTGGAAATTACCACAATCGCGGACGATGAGGTAAATGTAGTCCTTGATCCCTCAAATATTTGGATCTTATCTGCTCCTACCCACTCGTAGGCATGAGGTCATTTTCTGAACAATGCGACACTACTTTGGAGCATACTGCAGTGAACTCTCAGTGTATCGGGATCAACTTCTATTAACAATCAGTGCGTGGTTGGTCAATCGCAGGTCCTTCCGCGCCCAACGGCTGGCCCTCATCAACCGCTTCAAGACCAGAGCACATAGGCGGAATCAGAAGCGCAAGTTCCTGGACGTGGACGTATACTCGGTGTCTTCTACCATCATCGTCATGGTGCTGTGCTACTTTGTGCAGACCCGATACTACGCCAACAGTGTTTGAGACGCGAGTGGACTACGAATAAAGCGGCATATTCTCTGCAGATGCTGGGGTACATTGCCTCGTATTATTTTCTATGATGCGTACCAAACTTGGTCGAATCACCGGCACAGTGCCCGGAGTAGAAGGTGAGTCGCATGCCCCAGCACGAGGAGTAGAGCACTACTCGGCGTGGGTCTATGGAAGTTAAAATATCCAAAAGATGGCTGCAGGAGACAAGTGCGAAACCATGGCGCAACCGAGGTCATAGACTATACTGACATATACACCACATGTATAGTACAGTACATCACAAGCCATGTACTAGCTGTAGTGTCATATCGTGGGTCAGCTCCCACCGATACCTATCCTAATATTTCATCGCTGCGGCTTCAATCATCTGGCGCATGTTCTTTTTCTGATCGAGCGAAGCGCTGCTATAGTAGGTTAGGCCCTGACTACCAGTATGGATATAGTATGCGGCACAGAGCACGCGTAGATCGATCATTACACCTGTCAACATCCTCAGGTTAGAGTACCGATTGAGAACGCTGAAGGTGTAAGGGCAACCACTGCTGGTGTATCTGGGGCCACGATGTAGCGAGAGGCAGGTGCTCGAGAATTGTATACGTCGATGCAGTGATTTACAATGAAGTACAATATTGTAGCAATATCAAAGACGGGATAGTTATGGATTGTAGTACAATATTGTAGCGATATCAAAGACGGGATAGTTATGGATTGTAGTACAATATTGTAGCGATATCAAAGACGGGATAGTTATGGATTGTAGTACAATATTGTAGCGATATCAAAGACGGGATAGTTATGGATTGTAGTGACCTTTCTAGATCGATTTTTTTTTGGCACATGACATCCGAATGTAGCACAGGCTTCCATACGGATGCTCAGTCGGAAGTGGTCGCTGGTAAAACTTGATTGGTCGCAAGTGTGCTCGATACAGCCAGGATACTTGATGTGTATAAGAACGTCACGTATGTGCACGTAGTGAGTGACCACCACAAGCAGGTGTATTCATGCTACGGTAGGTCGGCACAGATCATAAAGAGAGTTTAGACTATGGATAGACCGAGTTTAACTTAATAGTCCCATTATACTTTTTTATTACGGTTCATATCAGCTTGGATATTTCTCAGGGTGCATTCTCTTGAGTGCAATGCTATTATTTTTCAGTCTCTATGACTTTCGGCTAATCCCACCGCTATTTATCGAGTCTATACTTTTTACGTCGAACGCTGCCACTGATTGGGTTGAACAGGACCCGACGCTGACACAGCGCTCGACCGAAAGCCTCACCTTCCCGTTTATCACTGGCCTATTTTTGCTCGCCTCAGAACGGGCTCTATATTCAATTTTAATTCTTCATACAGTGTGTAGAGTACCACACCGCAATGCACACATCTGTGTGGTTTGGGGTAGTAGTGCTTCACAAGCGCTTGAGTTGGCGCTTTGATTTCTTGCTGCCTATCTGGACGGTTGTCAGCTGCTTCTTCAGCTTGTCGGGCGACGGTGCCATCAACGGCTCCTGCTCTTGTCGCCCACACAACGGTGCAGCACCCAGGTACCGAACTTTGCGGCTGGCGATTGAACTTTCCTTCTGGCTAGGCAGTACGTACCCAGAGTCATTGAGGCTCAGACTGCTAGAGTCCATGAATCCGCTCATGCCCAGCGCAGAATCGGCTGTGGATGCATGGTACGAGCGGCTGTGCGCCTCCGTGTCTAACCGACTGGTGTTACCGTGTCCGCTGCTGTTATACAAAGCACTGACACTGCCGTTGTCTATACTTGAATCGTTCCAGCGGCTACTGTTGATACCCGATGCGCTGGTGCTACGATTGCGCATATGGGAAGTATTGATGCGGCTATAGTTCGTGCTCGAGGCGTTGATGCTTCGGTTGTTGGCGTTCGCGTTAAACGGAGTGCGCTCGGCACGGTCAGCTGCAAACAAGCTTGCTGCGATAGACAGACCAGCGACGTTCGCATTGGCATTCACGCGGTAAGGTGCAGTAGCATCTCTGGGCATACTGTGCGAGATCATGCCGTTGGTCAGCTCCCCCAGAGGCTTCCCTCTGCGTGTCTGCTGCGTTGGCGAGACATGTATAGTGGCAGGTAGGATTGACGTATTGTTGATGTTTAGGGTTGTATCATCAGAGGTGGAGGTGTTGTTCCCGGTGCCCGGTAGATGGCTTCTGTTGGAAGAACTAGGACCACTCACCAAACCCGCGCTCACCAAATCCGCTGGGGTGATGAGATTTTCTCGCTCCTGCACGACCGAACGGGGGCTGAGCTGTGCAAACTTCTCCTGTAACTTGGCCCATGAATTGCCCTGGTTTATGCTTACATTGGCGCTGTGTTCGTAGTTGTTCCAGTGGGGTGTGTACTGACGGGTCGACATATCCTGCTCCTGTTTGTACCGTTTCAGATTCTCTTCTTTGGCCTTCAGTCTTTTCTCGTAGTTGCGCACGGTGTTGTACACATCTTGCAGACAGGAATGGCGCGAGAAGTCCAGGGCACGATCTCTGGCCAATCCATTGAGGTGCGGACGCCACAGGAGATTGCTGCCGCTGATTTGACGCCATGACTTGCACACTCGGGAAGAACTGTGGGGGTAGAGAATGCACATGTATACGAGGAATAAGGATTTAGCATTTCATTGTATATAACGTCATTTAAAGAGTGCACGTATAGTATACGAGAATAGTGAATTGGGCTTAATACACACTATTATTTGCGTGTAGATTTTACTAACGTCATGCGTGACAGAAGTAACCACCAGGCTTTGATTGATTCCTGCACTACAACCAATTTTAAAGCGCTGTTCGCGGCGCTGACACAAAATTACGATACGCCTTAAAATTGAAGTATTTAGTTGCCTAGGCATATACAGGATACGGTAATATACGCTGCCCTCACGTCTACCGACCAGACATTACTATATGCACGCACAATAATTGCTACGGACGGATCGCAATCTCCACCAATTATACAGACAGTCGGGTCGCATCAAAAGAAGTAGTGAGCACATGAGAATTTCGCACTCAAAAAGGAAGTATGATACCTACCTGGCAAGATCCTCAGGCGCCAAGTAGCTCATGATCTTATAAGAAAGTTCTTTCGGTAATGCGTTCATCGCAAAAGTTTCTCCCTTGCAATTCATAGTCTCCTCCGAATCCTCACTCGGTTTGTCGCTGATGGCGTGTGATGCAGTCTTAGTGCAAGCAAGCACCCCACTTCCATTCAACAGAGTAGCATCTATACTGATATCCAAGCTGGAAGATAAGTCTGTATCGCGTCTGGTATTTGATGCGGTGTTCGGTGATTCTGAAGCCCGAATCTGAGAGAAACAAAGAAATGATGAATGGATTTGAGTGAAAACTCCGAGGAAAACCGTCGATCGAAATACTATAAGTTCACAGCATTTACGCTGGTATTCTCTTTTCGTGCAAAGCTTTCAAGTTATAAGATATACAAACAGACAGGAAGAATTCTTGCCAGTGTATATATAATCGATGCATAATATGTTTACACCCAAAGTGATTTCTGTAGTTTATGTATCCAGAAATAAGGTTTCGGTGTTCCCAAAGTACACGTCAAACAATTTATACGAGTGTAGATTCTTGGAGCATGCGTTCACTCTCAAATCGATCGTTCTTGAGCTCAAAAGCCGTTACAATGTTGGTCTATATCGATTCATCACACCACATACAAAATTTTGAGGTGTCAGTGAATGATGATAAATAAGATCACCCATACCTGTAATGTTCCGCACTTCTTCATGGTATTAATTATCGCAAGCGATATTCTCTTATATCCTAGTATCACAGTCGCATTAGCTACCAGCTCTTGACGCAGTAGCTTAAGCAAAAATGTTTCTCCAAGAATATTCTAAAGATTCCCGGCTAACTATATCGTATGCGTGTGTTTTACATGCCTCGTCGAATTCGGAGTGCTTTTGGCTATTTTAACCTATTTATTGTTGTGTACTACAACTTAGTGCTCGAAATTAACGACAGATAGGTATAGTCAGAGCAGAGAGTGAGTGCGAGGTAACTTAAGCTAATTGACCATCCTTTACTTCTCATACAACGATGTAAACAAATGGGATGTGCATGTGAATAGTAGTACATACAGCCATATATTACATCTAATATCGTACACACGGCTATATATAATATGTAGTTTTATATTAATATATCGAGGTGTGGACGGTTTGACTTCAATTCATAAACCCCCTCTGAAAAGACCGCTAAATATGTTCAGTTGATCAGAAAAAAAAGGTACATTAGAAACGGTTTCTCAGTAAAATACTAAAACAGGGAACCCCGCCATCCCCTGACACCCCCCCCCGGTACAACGTATAACGATCAGCCAATAACGACGTGTCGGAAATATCTTGTTGTTATTCTAAAGAAAAGAGATCAGTAGTCAAATAATATACTTGTTCGATTCGAATATACGACATTCGAAAAGTGAAAATGTCGTTTACTATACCTAATTCGTCGGTTACCAGTGTAAGTTTTGAAACGATTATCTCCATCAAAACGAACCGCCTATATTCGCCAAAGGGCGGCACTGCGGCAGTTTGGTCAACCTGTGTCTGCCGGTTGTGAAAAAACGGTGACTCATTCAGTAAAGCACTGAAAATATGTTTGAGGGAGCTAAAAATAAATGGGTGCCTGGCGGCTGGCTGGCTGCAGCCTGGCTCCTGGGTCATGGGCTCAAGGCTGCCTCTCATTTCGTTACTCGTTCAAACGTTAATCATGTACACTGTAGTGTCAGAGTCAGACTGTCAGTGTGCACTTTTATATATATAAATTTTAACAATCGAATGACATTTTATCCATTTGACGTTAAAATCATAACTGAACATAGCCTTCTAATCATACATTTTTAACACCGATGAAGGCTATTTATGTTGGTGTTTTTAAAAAATATGAAAGTTTTTAGTTTTTAGTTTTTTTTAGTTCAATAGAATAAATAAAAAAAACGAAACGAAAACAAAACGTTATAGACTGATATTATTTTAAAATTATTACTGCACACATGTGCGCCGACAGGAGGTCGACCGTTCCAGGCCCTCGGCGAAGGCGAGGGGACTCGCGTGACGCGTGACGCGTCTGACGACTGACAGTCTAACGCCTGACGGTCTGTGACTGTGAGTCGCCGACTGCTGACAGCGCTGATGAGTCGATGAGTTCAAAGTTAAACTTTGCCCGCGTGAATTTCTATTTTTATAGCCGCCTAAAGTACAGAGCATGGCAGCCTGCCATGAGGCCGTTGTGCCAGTCGGTTTGTGAATTGTGCAGTTAATTTGCATGCACGTCACACAAGGCCTAATTAGCCGGAAGCACCTTTAAAAGAGATCCGTGATCTTCAGGCTCTTCTGCAAATGACAGATGAGAATACCTGTTCTCTACTAGAATATAAACACCTAACAAACTTCCGCGAGGTAAACATTCGTATTATACAACGTGTTAGCGCTCATGATACGTGTTTATAAGCTTCAAACCACGTAGATTTGAATGCCACACACACACACATACAAACATACACACACACACACACAC